CAACCTCGGAGACATTATACCGGCTCTCAAACAAAGCGGTCAGCTATTTCAAAACAATAAACTTTGCTTCAACATTCCTTTCGACAATCGGCTGTTTTACCAAAACATTAATTTTTCCCGTCAACAGCTTTTAAAAATTATCTCTAAAGAATTTCATTTTGTTTTCTGACTTCCAAAATAACCGATTTCAAATTCCATTGTTTACATTTACATTGGTTTTTTACTCAAATTCGCTTCCCAGGCGACAATGACATTCAAATACAAAACAGTCAACTGTTCTATATAATGATTTTCCTGACAACGACTTTCTGTTTCTTTGCAATTTATTTCAAATGGTAAAGAATTTTCTTTGTTGTCGGCTTCTCTTTTGTTGTCGATTTACCAATACAACCCGAATAATTCTCTGCCCTTTTTTAAAACGACTCGCAAGACTGTTTACATTCTGACAATTCTTATTTGCTTTTCAGTTTATATTTTCTCCAAACCATATTTTGGATTCAACATTCCATTCGGCATTTCTGATTATCAGAAAGGGAGAAAAACATTTCTCTTTTTCTTTCGCTTCATATTCAAGTCATGTTTTGCCCTTAAATTTTTTAACCCTTCCAATTTTCCAATTCTATACGGAGTTTCCACATGAACCCTTTTAATCCTAATTTCATACTACCAATGTCACAATAATGCTATTTAACTAGCAATGATTAGCTAATAAAACCCAAACCGCACAACCTGATATATATATATATATATATATATATATATAGAGAGAGAGAGAGAGAGAGAGAGAGAGAGAGAGAGAGAGAGAGAGAGAGAGAGAGATAGATATTCTTTGTTTGTGAGAATTTATGAATAAATATTGAACACTTTTTATTTAATTATTTATTTACAAAGATAATTTTATATTTACAATATTAAACACATATGAAACAACGAATAAAGAAATAAATATGAAATCAAGCTTTTTATTCCTAAATTGATAAAAACTTACTAAATTATAAAGATATTATATAGGTATGTGAACCAAAGAAGGAAATCTCTATTATTTACAATTTTATAAAGTTTGAATCGATTGCAATGATTTCAGAAAAATTAGTAACAAATTAAACATTTCTTTCAAAATTTTGTTTTTCAAAAAATGGTAGGAAGAAGGGTTACTTATAAATGTTGACGTTTCAGACACTGAATTTCTATCATTTCGGCATACAATTTTCAAAAATTTAAATACAATACACCATCTTTTATTTTCTTGAATACCATTCATCTTTTATCCTTTCCTTAATACCTTCTATAGCAAGTTTTTTTCTCTTACTTTCACTCTCTTTAATCCCTGTGTACTCATGGCTTTTCCCACCTTTCCTTTTTTGGGGTGAAATGATTAAAACAATATACTTCATCCTAGATAATGTTTACAAGAAAATTAGAAAAATAAAACAAAAATTAATCTGAGATATAAAATAATTTGAGAATAAAATGTACAATGTATGAAAAAATCATGTTTATTTAAATTTTCTTGTTCTTTACTTCACAGACATTTTTATAAAAATATGAAGAAAAAATTGTTTTCATATTTATTCATAAAATGGTAAATAATAAATATTGCATTTAATTGGTTCACATTTTTTAATAATTTTGTAACTTTTAATAATTTTTTAATAAAAAGTTTTCTTTTCAAAATTATTACTTTATTAAATGATAAAGATTAAATGATAAAAACTAAATCATTATAAAATGATAACTAATAATAATGATAATTAATAAATATCATATTATACCTAATTCACATATTTTTATAATCTTGTCAATATAAATATAAAATGAATTAATAAAGGTGACAACAGAAAACGCATCTTTTAACACACCATTTTTTTTTAAAAGACAAAGGGTAAACTTTGCCAGGATTTTTATTCCTCTATTAAAGGGAATATACTAAATGAGGTACTAGATTTAACTAAACAATATATAAATATTTCTGATGATGAAATATACATAATGTAACATTGCAGAAAAATCAATACTCTATAATATAAAATGTATGGATAAAAAGAAGGCAAGATGTGAATACTGATGTCACCTAATACTTTTTATGATGTACACGATGGACTGTATACATACTTATATACTCAACTTTACATTTGAATTATTTAGAACAGTTACAAATCATAAGACAAATGAATAAGATATTGGTATGAAACAAAAGAGACTAGTGTAGCCGGAAGTTCAGGTCCATTAACGTGGATCAACCAGATGAGTAGGGTTGAAGTAAGGACCGGAAGTGATGAGGGCCAAGTATACCGTGGTAGCCGGAAGTGTGCTGGAAGTAAGAATGGATAAGAAAGCCCAACAAGCGTCCATTTGGCAGAGGTTAAATAAATGAGTACGCACCTCAATACATAACCAGATGGCCAGGGGCTTGCGTTTTCCCTGCTTCTCGTCTCCTTGGTTCGGCGAGAAGTCGCCTATTTATATGATAAGAGATCGTAAACAGTAACTGGTCCTGCAAAGTACTACAAATCTCAAGAAAGATAAATTCAGAGGTGCTACGAAATATAAAATCATAAAAGTGTTCACAAAGTGTATTCAGACTAAGTTCGTTACTACTGAAATAACTAAAGAGACATTAGTTTTATTATAAATTTTAAAGGAACTTAAATTGAAGGGAGTGCATCGACGCAATGAAGAAAAGGTCAAGGTCATGAATATATATAACGCCTGCCCTTGGTCACATGGACGGAGTAGCGAAGGGCTACGATACTGCATAATTTGTAAGAATTCCTTTATTCAGGAGTAGGTAGTTTTTTTTTTATAGTAGTGGGAGAGTGTAGAGTTTCTTTGTTACATTAACAGAGTTGTGAGATGTATATATAAATGTTCCAAAAAATATCCTATATGTCTAGAATTTTATAATGCTATATCTAATAAATCTTTAAACTATAAAAATATTCTTGTAAATAACGGAATGTGGGTATGTAACTGTATTGGAAATAGGTTTTATTTTAATATCTGTCTATATTTCTGAGATGAGGTATTGTAATATTTTATATTATTTACACTGCTCGGGCCGTTGTTCTCATTTTTATTGTCATATTCATGACGTTTCGGCTATTGTACGCTCCGGCCTTCTTCAGGTGGCTGGAATTTCGAACAAACATTTATTTCGTCCATCGCGGGTAGGTTGTTCTAGTTCTACGTGCCACGCCTCTTTCAATCACTTGAAGAAGGCCGCAGCATACAACGGCCGAAACGTCGTGATATGGCAATAAAGATGAGGACAACAGTCCGAACAATGTAAATAAGGTTTTATTTCCTATAATACACCCCACTCAGATTGATAAATATTTTGTGAAGATGTGTAATATGTTTTAAATTTGGCGGGCCAAGTGACGTTTCTGACAGATTTTATTGCGACATTCGTGTGTGCATATCTTCTTTTGTTGAAACTATTTTTTTTACTTCTCTGCCAGTTGAATACTTTGCTCCGTTGTGCTGTTTTTGTAGGTAAATTCAAGTTCTCCGGTTTTATTCTAAGAAAACAGTATCTTGATTACCATTATTAATGATAGTAAAATATTTTTGTTGTCTGTCCACTACTTGAAAATGTCCTCTGTATATAGGATAGAGAGGTCTTTTCACCGCATCATTGCGTAAGGATATATATCTACCTGTTGTGGCGGTCTTTAGGTATGTAGAGGTTTCTTACTTGTGATCTCATTGGTGTAAAAACTAGATCACTCATTCTTTGTTTAAAGTCCTCTACAAGGAACGTTGTCGGTTTGAAGTGATTGTTTTTTTTTGTTTTTTTTTCACAGAATTGTCCGGGTAGTGTTACAGATGTGACGAAAACCATTTTCAGGGGTTTTTTTTTTTAATCATATTCCACATGGAAAGTAAAACTAAGGGCAAATTTTCTAACCAGGTACCAGAATGCGTGTTTGCTATAAAAGCTGTTTTAAGCCGCCTATGGAATCTCTCAATCAAGCCATTGGCACGAAGATGATATGCTGTAGTTTTACCTCCCTCCCTGCAGTAATTTTTTAAATTCGTCGAACGGTGTTGATTGAAATTGCGCTCAACGGTCTGTTGTATTTACTGAGGGATAACCAAAAACAGCTATCCATTCCTGTAAGAAAATTTTAGCTATCGAGTTTGAAGATATGTTTTTCAGAGGTACGAGCTATCGATAATATTCAACAGATAGAAATAACCATTTGCTTATGGTAATGGTCCAAATATATCAATATGCAGGTTTGTGAACCGACCATCTGGTCCGGCAAATTTACCAAGAGGAGATTTCGTATATCCGGTAACTTTTTTTTTTTAACAGTTTAAACATATCTGAGTCATATTTCTTATATTTGTTTGCATGTTAGGCCAGACAAAAGGACTGCTAATTAGTTTGAACGCAGCTCGACGTCCGGGATGTGAGAGATTGTGAAAATTTTTAAAAATCATACGTCTCAGTAAAGACAGAACATAATGTCTTGAGTAACGTGTACTCACATCGCACAACAATGATTTTGTACTAAAAGTTTCTTCTTTTACTTTGTTTAATGTATCATCGTGTAACAGAGAGAGGTTTATGCACATGAATGCATACACGCAAATATAACGTTTATTGATTGAAGATGGAAAACACAATCTTCCGTGAAAGTTACAAACTGTGTCAGCGCTATTAATAGGAAAGAATCTAGAACAATGATATACGAAACCGGAGACGGCTGATGGATAAAGAATAAATTTCAAATCGGTTTATAAACAAATGCAAAAGGGCAGGAGGCGATGTTTAATTTGGGTCATTAAAAAATAGACGAAAATAATATTTTTGATAAAAAACATGTTGAAGTAAATTGGACCGGGGAGCTAAGATCAGTGTATATTTAACGCTAGCGAAATCTGATCTAAACATAAGTTGTATCCGCTGAATTTGGTAATCGAAAAGACAATTGAAATGAACATTGAAATAATTAATTTTATCCACTAAGAGATTTGAAATAGATCCGAATTTAAAATTTGCTTATGGCGACACTCCTGTTAAGCGCGTGAACAACCTGGCTTATAACCTTCGGTTTGCTATATAAACGCGAGTTTTTGCTGAGTTGGAGAGACTTGGGCGTTAGACGAGAGTGACGTTGAGAGAGAGAGAGAGAGAGAGAGAGAGAGAGAGAGAGAGAGAAAGAAAGAGAGACTGTCGTTGCAGTGAGTCGGTCCAGTGGCGAGTCAGAGATAAGGACTTCAAGAAATATCATCGTCGTTGTAGCAGTCGCATTGAAAAGTCGCTGAAACTTAAGGTTTGTCACTTACGACAACCAACTGAAAAGCTACACTTCCACGTAGGGCTGGAATTACGAGTCACATATCCTCCCAAGTTGATTTGGAACGAGTTAATCACACACACACCTCTCTCTCTGTTGGTATAATTGGTAGAGGAGTGGTCCTCTGTTCTTATGTTAATTGCTTTTCTATCCTTTCTGTAAACTCTTTGTACTGTTGTTGTTTTCTTATATAAAAGACATCAACCATTGTTGTTCGGCTTCTGCAGATATTATTTCCTTGTTTGCCACATTCTAATTTTCCTGCCGCCCACCCTCACAGCCGTGCCTACATCCCCAATCGACCGTGAACGTATGGACAACACCCCGCTTACTGGATCTAAAAACTAACACAACGTGGGCAGCAGGCGGAACTTGGCCAGTGACCGGTCGAACAATCTACGGGTACTCAGGGAGCGTGCGGCCAGCTACACCTGAGTTCGGTTCAGACCGAGTGGGCGCCTCAACCCAAAGAAGAAGACGCCGGAGGTTGAGGGACTGAAGGGACGAGTGGTAGATCTATGTGTTGTTCATTTGCAATGAGATCGAAGTTGAGAGTTTCAGAATTTACAGAATGTGTTGTAGATCGCACGTGTGTATGTACCATGGTAGTGTCTGGATCTTTAATGTAACGGATATCCGACCTAAGTTGGGATATATAGCGGACATCTCTTGGCGTATATTTCTAAGAATTCACATGTAAAACGTACGTGAGGGGTTTATGGCATGTAAAAAGTGTAAAGTTTCTGCCTTTAAGCAAATGTCGTATAGTCAAATGAATTGTGAGTAGATCTCCGGAGAAAGTGCTATATTTTTGTTGGGCTTTATTCAGTTTTACGGAACAAAAGGAACGCCATTTTGTTTTTGATGTAAAACTGATCGGATAGAATTCGAAGAAGCACAGCCCGTCAACGTTTGGGTTGAGTTCTCATCTTCACTAATACATGAAAGTTTTGCTCCATGGAAAAGTAGTAGTTAAAGAGTCGATTTGAAGGATGACACGTGAAACTAGAACAGTCTATCCCAGCGAGCGAAATAGAGGGTTCGACATTCCAACCATCTGACGAAGGCCGGGGCGTACAACGGCCGAAACGTTGTGATAAATATGGCAACAAAGATGAGTACAATAATCTGAATAATGTAAATAGTCATTATTGTTTCATTTTTGTTTTTCTGTTTTTTAAGTAGATGTGTTAGTCGTGTCAAATTTGGGTGCAACCTGGAATAAATCTTTGGTAGTAATTAATTAGACCAATAAATCTTCATGGTTGCCTCAACAATGTTGGTTGAGGGAATTGTATTGCTGTGATTTTTTCTGGAACATTTGTAATATCATATTCGTCAATAACGTGACCCAAGAAAGTTAGTTTTGAAAGTGCATAGTCGCATTTATTTATATTAATTTTCAGCCCTAAGTATGTCAGTCTTTCGAAAAGTTGTCTTAAATGTTCATAATGATCTTTGAGATCATGACTAGCAATAAGAACATTGTCTATGTAAGCGAAGGCAAAAGGTAATCCTCTAAAAAGATTGCTTAGCATTACATAACCAGAACTTTTTTTTCGAGAATTCATAAAACCCGAACGGGATAGTAATCGCTATCTTTTTTATGTCTTCTTTTGCTACTGGAATTTGGTAATATGCTTTAAGCAAATCCAGATTTTGGAATACTTTTGTTTTCTTATTTTGTAAATCCATGGTGAAATCGTGTAAGTGAAGGATTGGGCATTTATCCGGAACCGCTTTTTACGTTAAGATTCCAGAATTCCCCCACAAGATCCAAGTTCCAGTATCTGATTTCGGAACCATATGTAATGTAGAAGAATATGGGCTTTGTGAATGGCATATAATGTCCAGTTGTAGCCTATGCAGAAACTCGTCCTTTGCTATTTTATATTTGTCTTTGGCTACTACGCATTCAGATTTCAGTGTCACACATTCCGTCCTCAGTTTAAAACACTTCCCAGATATTTAAATTTCTGTACTTGTTTGATTTGGGTATTTCCGATTTGCAATTCACACTTTGGACTTGTCCTTTTTTTTAACAAACATACGTTTTAAAAATTCTATCAAAAACAATTACCAGATTTCCATTAAAGTTTCGATACTTATTACTTTTAAATTAATTTATTTCTTAAATCAATAAGAAATATTGATGGTGTGACAATATTTAGCGGTCGCGTGAAAATGAAAAGCGAGAAATAATTAAAGCGAGAAGAAGCTGAAATAATTAAGACGATAAGAAGGCGAGAAGAAGCTGAAAAAATTAAGGCGATAAGAAATTGACCGAGAAAGACATCAGCTGAGGACCACCCCCAAAGAGAGAAGGAAAAGAAGGGAAAAGTGAAAAGGAAGGGAATAAACCATTAACTATTCTTCGGAGATATCATTTGGTTTTGGGAAAGACACCTGTTTTATGTTCAGACTTATCCATGATAAGAGTTTGTTGCCTGGACAGACTGTGGCGACGGAAGCACGTAGGCATTGAGGAGACAAAGAGATTCACTGATCAACCCCAATGATTATTTGACGAAAATCTAGTTGATGAACTCCAGATGAAATTCGGTTAAGATAGAGATTAGTGACCACACCACGAGCCGTGGGAGGTCTGCTCGGGGAAGAGAAAGAAAGAAAGAAAAAAAAGAAGATAATTTTTTTTCCTTTGAGCGAAGTTTTTAAACTGAGGTCAGTCTAGCCACACCCACGCTGCTGGACGTTCATTGGCTGAATGGTGGCGTGAGCGGTAGGCGAAGATAAACTATGAGAAAGGAGGGGAAACCTGTTGACGCCCTCTGAGGGGATTGATATGAGAAAGGAAGAATTTGGGAGGACGATTCCCTCAAAGTAGAAAGTAATGGACTTCCAAAAATGGAAAGTAATAAATTTTCCTGTCCGAAAACAAAGAAAATCCTTATTGTGGATTTAGAATTATCAAGGAACCTCAAAACCCGACAGGCCCACCCCGTTTTTGGTCGGCGTCCATATAAGCAGAGTCGCAGTAACACAGAAAGCAGTTGGAGAGAGAGACGCAGAGTTGAGCTGTGAGCTCTGAGACCCGCCTCGAAGGAAGCTGACTGAAGATCCACGCATTCTAACTACAACTTTTAACCAAAAACAATTTATTTTTGAAGAACGACTTAAACTCACATCACCAAAACAAGTTTTACGAATATCGCCTGAAGACACCAAAAACCAGTTTCTTGAAAAACAATTGAAGATGTTAAGACTCGCCTAACAAACACAAAGTGCCACGAATCCATATTAGCGGTTTGGGAGAAAGGCGCAGTACTGTATTCAGAAACCAGATATAAAAATATTTGTTATTCTTTTTTTTAACACATTTGAACTTTTCGAGTTGTTACTTTATTTTCTTTTACATATACTTGTGTGGTGTTACCTTTGCTTGGACTCGGCTTGCATTGCGGCCCGGCGACTGATTGATTTCGTCTACCTAAGATCAAATCACAACGTGGGTAGGTTAGACTAAAAATCAAAGCAGTTACTTCGGTAACCAGGCGTTGGAGGTGAGCTGGGAACGACAAAGCTGATACCGAATCTAACCAGATTCCCATCCGAATCAGCAAAGGGTTAGAACGTCACACTTGGTGCCGCGACCAATACCAAGTCAGTTGGTCGTCACAGGACAGGACGGCAACGGGGCAGAGAGGCCAGGGGGTGACGTCACAATTGGTGCCGTGACATCAGGATAAGACTCTGGATCAGCCGCTGCCACAGGAGTTGCAGAAAAATTCGACCAGAACAACGCACAGCGTCACAAGTACTCAAATTGAAACAGACTAGAGTGGGAACCAAAGGACTTTGGTTAACTATAACCATACGGTTCCAGACCCTCTAGTACAAAAACACGGAACCTGAGAAGAACGAGCTGGAAATCGTCTGTCAGGTAGGACACTTTAGTTCCGGTTAATCTCCCAATTTCGATTGTTGCTGCTCTGATTGTTTTTTTTTTCTTCTTTTTCTGTTTTAAATATTTCTGACTACGATCCAGATAGGGTAGACATAGAGGAAGAGGTGGTTGAACAGGGATTGTCAGCAGACCTAAGAAAATTGTTGGGTGGACCAAGGTTCCCAGCCTTTGACGGTAGTCCAAGGGATTTTAGGAATTGGCTGGCAATCTTGGATAAGAGCCGCGTGATATATGGACTCTCAGACCAAGAAACCCTATATTTGGTGTATGATGCCACCAGGGGGAAAGCGTCAGAGTTCTTAAAGGGACTCTTAGCCAGTGAGCCCCACTTGACATGGGAAAGGTTGGAAGAATTATTAACTCGGGAGTTCGCTGACGAGGGGACAGCTCTCCTGAAGATGACGCAGCTGAGGGACGAAACCCCTGGAGAATTGGGGGTCCGAGCGGAGAAGCTGTCGTCATTAGCTTTCCCAGAGGTAGTGAGAAATAATGCGGTCATGCAGGCCCAGTTGGCTGATCTGTATGTGGAAGCGCTCAGTGACGAGCGTGTTCGTCACGATGTTTTGAAGGAAGGACCACTAAGGTTATCGGCAGCAGTGGCGCTGGCCAAAGAGAGCCAGGGAGTTTGGGAGAAAGTGAAAAGAGGTGGGAAGAAGCAAGAGCTAAGTCGAGAGGTCGGAAGAAATGGGGAAGGAGGGAGAGCCCCAAGGTGGAATCGGAATGTCAAGATAGAGGTGGATGAGCCTTAGATGTGGGAGGGGGATCCCACAAGAAAGGCTTGGTCGACAAGGCATGGGTTCTATAAGCCCACGCCGGGTCGATACGGGCTGGTCTGCTGGACATGTGGATATGAGGACCACAGAGAAGCGGAGTGAACGACGAAGTGGGGTTTGCCCCCAGACTTTGAGCAGGATAAATGTATTAGGTGTGGAAAGAAGGGACACCTAGCCAAGTGATGTGGGTTAAGAAAAGGTGCCCCACCGATGTTGTTAAAGAAGGCCGAGCCCAAAAGACAGAACCAGGGAAAAGCCAGCGGGCCACCCCAGAATTAAGAGGGTGGGTGCCCAATTAAAAAAGAAGGAAAGTAAAACGTTGGACATGTGGTCAGGAGAGCCACTTAGGTAGAGGGCAGGTCCCCCCAGGAATAAGAGAGAGGGTGGCCCATTTAAAGAGAAGAAGCGTAAAATGTTGGGTATGTGGTCAGGTGGGCCACTTTGCGGTTAACTGTCCAACAAGAAGGTGCTGGTTTTGTAGGAGACCAGGGCACCCGAAGAGGAATTGTGCTCTTAGGTAACAGCCGCGAGAGACTGGGAGAGGTCCAGCCGGGACCGCCCAGGTGCAGAAAACGAAGAACCCCTCCATGTGAGATGAATGAAAGGAATTTGTTGCTACCGGCACCTATGGCTGGGATGACCCAAAGGTGGGAACCCAGGAAGAGGAAAGCCAAAGTATTCTCTTCGCTGACGCAAGAGAAGGAGCTATCTTGTAGAGCAGAGATAGGGGGTAGGGCAATGAAAGCTCTGATAGACACAGGAGCGTCTGTTTCATTGCTGAGAGAAAAAGAATACAGACGAGTAAAACAGAAGAATGGGTTGCAGGAAGCGGACATAGAAATCACACAGGCAGATGGAGCCCCTGGAGATAAAAAGTGATGGCGAGGCTCCCTGTGAGGATTGGAAAGTTGAAAAGTACCCAGAACTTCTACGTAACCCCCAACCTGTGTACGGAAGCAATCTTCGGAGAAGATTGGCTTCAGAGCCAGAGGGCTCGGATAGAGTTCAACCCCACTGTGCTGGTAGTAAATGGCGAGAGAAAGCCATTGGGAAGCCCACCGGAAGAAGATATAACAATAGTGGTGGAGGAAGATATAAAGCTACCCACCCAGAACGGCGGTGTCGGGCAAGGGTAGGCTGATGACAGGGAAGAAAATAGAAAAAGGAACCCTGCAATTGGTCCCTGTAGTAGGGAAAGGCCTAGAAGAGAATGAGGTAACTCTGTGTGAGGCAGTAGTGGAGGCAGCTGAATTAGTGCCCATTATGATGGTGAAACAGGCCCAAAAGACGATAAAGGTTAAGAGAGGAGAAGATCATCATCAGCTGTTGCTGGAACAACAACATAAAATATTTGTACAGGCCAGAAGAAGAATAAAGAGGGCACAGAAGAGAAGAAATGAGAGAGTGAATACTGAAAGAAAAGTAGTAGAATTGAAGGTTGGAGACCCTGCCTACTATAAAATCCACCAGAGAGAAGGAAAGCTGGACCAAAGATGGGAACCGTACTACCGGATAGTAGAGCAGATGGGTCCAGTATCATATGTAATATGGGATCAAGTGGAAGGACGAGCAAGGAGGTCCCATGCCAATGATCTGAAGAAGGCTGAAATAGCTAACCTGGAAATGAGCAAGCCGAGGCCTAAGACAAGGACAAGGAAGGTAACTCTAGTTGAGCCGGAAGAAATGGAGACGGAGGAAGATTCCGAGGAAAATGAGGAGATTGATCGACTTAGCCAGATAGACGAAGCGATCCGAGTGATGGAGTTGGAACCCTCGGCGCGGACCAGCGGCGTTCAGTCGTTGCTTGAATCGGTGCAGAGAAGACCCTGTGATGTCACCGTCGCACCCCCATGTCCAAAGAAAAGGAAGAGAATCAATCAGTCAAGGACTCTAAAACGAGGCACCCTAAACAAGACGAAGCGTTCAACGAGTGGGAGGAGGAGGATCAAATACCCCTTTCCCAGCTCAAAGAAAGACTAAGAAACAGGAGAGATTTAAACATAGAGTCAAAAAGTAATGAAGACGTCCAGGGCGCGGACTCGAAACAGGAGAGGAAGAAGGGGACAAAACATCTCCTGAACGGGAATTAAACACCGAAGGAAGGTTAGAGGTCGAGCAGGAACTACCTCTGAAGATGAGATTGAGAAGGGCGGAGAACCCCAAGTCTCAGTAGAACACAGAAGGCTGTGCAGAATAGAAGCACTCGGTGTCGACAGATAACGACACTGGCTCATCCAAGAACCTACTGGCTGACTGTGGTGGATGTGGATGGAGGGGATGGAGTCACGAGCTGCACCTCACGAAGGACGGAAGAAGATTATTGGCATTGCTAACTGGCCATCAGTGGTGTCATGAAGTACGACCTTTGAAGTGGGAGCCCCACGCACCTGTCCGGACCATTCTGTCTGCTAGGAGTTAGTTAGGGGAGGAAAGAGCTGAAGAGTTACAAACTTAGAAAGAAATTTTGGAATAATTGAGTGAAGAATTGAACAAGACCGAATGGTTATGAAGAATAAAAACAAGAGAATTTTGTTGCCTTGCAGGAATGATCAAAATGAAAGGGTTGATGATGATGATGATGATGGTGGTAGCCACATTGATGGTGATAGATGCTCAATGGAGGGACATTCAAAATTACTTGAAGGGAATAGAGTTACAGCAGACGCGGGAAAAGAGGTCGGTAGTTCCGATTGTGGGAAAAGCGTTAAATGTCCTGTTTGGAACAGTGACTGAAGATGACGTTAAGTTCATAAGAAGAAAACTGGGAGAAGTGGAAATAAACCAGAGGACGCTGGCTCAAGTGGCAAGGGAGAGTGTGACAATATTAAATGTGACAAGGTTGGAAGTGGCCAAGAATAGAGCCAGAATTAATTGGTTAATAAATAAGCTGGCAGGGTTGATACAAGAGGTAATTAATGATACAGAAACTGTAATGATAGAATTACAGGAAATGAGTGGATTCATGCAAAGATATTTCCAACTAATGACAATTACGAATAAGGTACGACAAGCTAGTCAGTTGTTGACGACCTTGCTGGAACATGTGAGAGCGCAATTAGACATGTTGTCATTGGGACACCTCTCTCCAAGCATAGTAAACCCGGGTCACCTAAGGGAAGTGCTACTCGGAATACAGACTGAGTTACCCCACTATTTAAGACTGCCAGTGGATCCCACCAAAGAATTGTGGAAATATTATAGTGCGCTGGGATGTGTGACCTTGTTGGAAAATAGACGACTATTTGTTATGATGTCTGTTCCGTTGTTAGATAGAGAGAGTATATTCGAGATATACCAGGTTATAAATTTACCTATTCCCTACCCCAGAAGAGATCAAGGTTTGGGAATGGTGGCAAGATACAAGATGGAAACAGAATACATAGCTTTAAATTCGGGTAGAACAAAATTCATGTTGCTAACGGCTGAAGAAGCTAGAAAGTGTAGAAATGATGCTCTAGGGACTTGTACATCGTTAAGCCCTATCTATATAGCTGGTAACCACAAAATGTGCGCACTAGAATTGTTTGAAGGGAAGAAAGAGGGAATTAAGAGAACTTGTCAAGTAGAGGTATTAGCAAACACGGCATTACCACAAGCTATCAGTGTTTCAGACGGGGTGTGGGCAGTGGCCACACAGAAACCCATCAGCTTGTCTAGGGTATGTGGGGGAGAGTCCACAAGGACATTAAGAGTAAGGCCACCATTATCCCTGTTAAAGTTACCCCTGGGATGTTCGGCATTTGGGATATCTATTTCCTTACCCCCCCTATTACCAGGAAGAAGAAAGATATGAAGAGAAAGATTCCATCATAGAATTGATTGGCAGGAGCTTAGTCAGTTGTACAGAGTTGTGGGAGCCAATAGTGAGGGGATTCCCCAATGTTACCTTGAATAAAATGCCAGTACTAATGAAGCCGATAGAAAAGATCGATATGGATCAATTGAGGGACAAGTTAAGTGCGTTGGGAAATGAAGGTATGCCTTGGGAAGATGATGAGCAGATCGCAATAAGTTGGTCAGCAATGATGGGTACATTCATAATTATAGCCATAGGGGGTATGGCAATATGGAAGATTAGAAGTAAAAGGAAATTAACTAGCGGTAATCAAACGAGTATGCAGCAACTCGAGAGGGAGATGCCGAGCAGTGTGCTTTACTCATACAGAATCGGCAAAGAAATTGCAGAAAGGCCGGCGGAGGAGGCTGACGTGAAACCGACACGTGCGGCGGGAAAACCTCCTACAGCAGAGAGAAAAACATTGACCAAGAAAAACAAGCCATAATAACCACACACATGCACTCACAGGCACACGCACACTTTAAATTGCATGAAACACAGAAGAATATGAAAGAACATTACATTTGCATGTAGAACAGAAGAAGATAAAAGAACATTACATTTGCATGTAGAACAGAAGAAAATGAAAAGAACATTACATTTGCATGTAGAATAGAAGAAGATGAAAGAACATTACATTTGCATGTAGAACAGAAGATGAAAAAAAGAACATTACATTGCATGTAGAACAGAAGAAGATGAAAAGAACATTACATTTGCATGTAGAACAGAAGAAGATAAAGAGAACATTACATTTGCATGTAGAACAGAAGAAGGTGAAAAGAACATCACCTTGTATGTAAAACCGTAAAAAAGAAAAGAAGAACAGAATTACATGGGACAGATGCATGATGCATGCTAAATAGTGTATTTGGGTTTAGGTGTCATTTACGAGTAAATGACAAATAGGTTAGGGGAGGATTGTGATATTATTTAGCGGTCGCGTGAAAATGAAAAGCGAGAAATAATTAAAGCGAGAAGAAGCTGAAATAATTAAGGCGATAAGAGGGCGAGAAGAAGCTGAAATAATTAAGGCAATAAGAAATTGACCGAGAAAGAATCAGCTGACGACCACCCCCAAGGAGAGAAGGAAAGGAAGGGAAAAGAGAAAAGAAGGGAATAAACCATTAACTATCCTTCGGAGATATCATTTGGTTTTGGGAAAGACACCTGTTTTATGTTCAGACTTATCCATGATAAGAGTTTGTTGTTGCCTGGACAGACTGTGGCGACGGAAGCACGTAGGCATTGAGGAGACAAAGAGATTCACTGATCAACCCCAATGATTATTTGACGAAAATCTAGTTGACGAACTCCAGATGAAATTCGGTTAAGATAGAGATTAGTTACCACACCACGAGCCGTGGGAGGTCTGCTCGGGGAAGAGAAAGAAAGAAAGAAAGAAAGAAAGAAAGAAAGAAAGAAAGAAAAAAAAAGATAATTTTTTTTCCTTTGAGCGAAATTTTTAAACTGAGGCTAGTCTAGTCACACCCACGCTGCTGGGCGTTCATTGGCTGAATGGTGGCGTGAGCGGTAGGCGAAGATAAACTATGAGAAAGGAGGGGAAACCTGTTGACGCCTTCTGAGGGGATTGGTGTGAGATACCAATATGAGAAAGGAAGAATTTGGGAGGACGATTCCCTCAAAGTAGAAAGTAATGGACTTCCAAAAATGGAAAGTAATAAATTTTCCTGTCCGAAAACAAAGAAAATCCTTATTGTGGATTTAGAATTATCAAGGAACCTCAAACCCCGACAGGCCCACCCTGGTTTTGGTCGGCGTCCATATAAGCAGAGTCGCAGTAACACAGAAAGCAGTTGGAGAGAGAGACGCAGAGTTGAGCTGTGAGCTCTGAGACCCGCCTCGCAGGAAGCTGACTCTGATTCTGACTTCAACTTCTAACCAAAAACAATTTATTTTTGAAGAACGACTTAGACTCACCTCACCAAAACAAGTTTTATGAATATCGCCTGAAGACACCAAAAACCAGTTTCTTGAAAAACAATTGAAGATGTTAAGACTCGCCTAACAAACACAAAGTGCCACGAATCCATATTAGCGGTTTGGGAGAAAGACGCAGTACTGTATTCAGAAACCAGATATAAAAATATTTGTTATTCTTTTTTTTAACACATTTGAACTTTTCGAGTTGTTACTTTATTTTCTTTTACATATACTTGTGTGGTGTTACCTTTGTTCGGACTCGGCTTGCATTGCGGCCTGGCGACTGATTGATTTCCTACCTAAGATCAAATCACAACGTGGGTAGGTTAGACTCGGTAACCAGGCGTTGGAGGCGAGCTGGGAACGACAAAGCTGACGAATCTAGGGTTAGAACGTGTTTGGTGCCTGACAATGGAAATATTTTTTAGCCAATCAACCCTCTACTATTTAATTTCATGAAATCTAAAAAATATCCAGTGTAGCGAAACGTCATTAATATTTCTATAAATATAAGAGCCTGAAGAAATGAAATCAGTTATTTTTGTTATTTTGTAAACTGAAAAATCCAAAGCAGTTTATCTTTCAAAATAAAGAAAACAGATATATACAAGGAGCAAAATAGAAGTTTCTCAATAATACCTTGAAAAAAGATTGAAAAATGGTCAAAATATGATGAGATCCTTTTTAGTTTTCTTAAAGGGTACAGGCTGTAGATACTGTTTTTCTTTCAAACTGTTTTCTAAATGACAAATGTCACTTACAACATATGGCTTTTCTAACTGGATGAATGTACTCAGAACACAGATGTGGACTATTTTGGCATTTTGCAGGAGTAGTAGGTTTTCTATGCTGATTTACTTGTATCTAATATAGTATTTTTTTTGTAAATTTTATAATTCCGTTGTGAGTTGATGAACCCAATATATATATATATATATATATATTAACATCGAAACATGTGAAAAAAAAATACCTATTTTAAATTAAATCAACATGTGAAAAATTAATAAAGCGCTATTTTTCTCAAGCCTAGTCTCGGGAAATTAAAAAAAAAATAAAACTTCTCAGATTTCGACTTTCAGGAAGAGAAATGCAAGTGTCTTCAAGCCATTCAAACATAAGACCTGTGTACACAGCTTTTCCCCTGCAGTACGTCTCCAAAAGAAAAATGCCTATTTAAGGGGCTGCTTGAGTAGTTTTACTCCTAAGTCCTATAGTGACTCCTCATAAGAACTGTTCTGGGTGTTTTCACTATAAGAAAAAGTAGAAAAAGGAAAATTATTATTAATGTATATTCTTTGTGGGTTCCGTTAAAGGAGATTGTAGAGAATGGAGATCAAGTGACAACAAGGCGTAGCATAAAAATGATGAAAGATACTCAGTGAGATACCAAAACCAAAACAACTTTATTAAAATAAGATGATTTTTACCCCTTTTCCAAGCACACAAACGACCAAATTCGTGCATATCTATTTTCTTCTATTTTAATAAAATTGTTTTGGTTTTATATCTCACTGAGTATCTCTCATCATTTCTCAAGTTAGCTAGTTTCAATGTGAGGGACTTGAGGGATCGGAGTAAGGCTGCGCACCTACTTCGTGATCTCCTGTCACTCGGCGTAGATGTATCTGTGATCCAGGAGACGCATTTTGTTTGCGAAGTTGAGGCGTGTGTGCTGTCGAGCGACTTTGTTGTCTATTCAGCATACGGGGACCAACAGGCCAAAGGTGTTTCCTTGCTGTTTAAACGTACCCTGGGTGCGAGGGTGGACATTGTCCACGTCGATGCGGGGCGGGGGGGTGCGGTTGATTGTAGCTGATATTGCCGTGAACAATAGTTCGTTTCGGGTCGTTGCGGTTTATGCGCCGGACGGAGTGTCGCTCGTTTTATCGGCAGTTAGGGTCGTTCCTGGTGAATTCGTCGCGCTTAGTCTTAGTGGGGAATTGGAATGCCATCCTGGACCCCGTTATAGACAGGGGGCGGAGAGCTAGTGGGAGATGTGGACGTGAGCACTTAAGTCGGTTCGTCAGGGTTGCCTACTGTCGCCCCTACTTTGGCGTTGGAGCCTCTTCTTCGCCGGATAAGGGACGGGCGAACAGTCCAGCCCTACGTGGAGCTCGAGCCAAAGTTTCCGCGTACGCCGATGACGTATCCCTTTTCGTGTCGTGTCGCAGCAACATTGAGGTGGTACAGAAAAGGTCACGGGGGTCAAGATTAACCGCAACAAGTCTTCCGGCTTGCGATTAGGTTCCTGGAAGGGGTTCGATCTTCCGGAGCCCTTTGGTTGGACGGACGGTCCTGTCAACATCCTTGGAGTGTGGTTTGAACCCGACCTCTAGCTGGAGAAAAATTGGTCAGAAGTACAGGTAAAAGTCGGAGCTTTGAAGGAGGTTCTCCTTGAAGGGTAGAGCTGAGGTGTGTGCCACTTACATCTTTTCGCTTATCCTTTACCGCTTGGCTGTATTTCCTCTTTGCAAAGACCATCGGAAGGCTATCGAGCGCTTGTTGTTCACCCTCTTGCGGGGTGGGCGCAAGGCGAAGGTCCGCAAAGAATGCTATGTCCAGCGTCCATGTCATGGGGTGGGGGGGAATGCTACACTTGGGGAGTCATCGACAGGCCTCGAGGCTGGCTTTCCTACGCCGCGTTTTGACTGAGGATTCGATTTTGAAGGGGAGTGTTAGGGACGCCTTCCCTAGCCTTACTATCACTCCTCACATTTCTTGGGCCAAGCGCCGTCGTAGGCCAGCAAACTGTCGACTTTCCTCTGTGAGTGTCGAGCGGCCTTGAGGGTTTTCCTCGGTCCAGTGAACTTTTACGGCTTCGAAAGGTCTTGTATCGTGAGTTAGTGGAGGAGGTTGTGAAGGATCCTCTCTGTGAGCTGCTCGGCTTGTCGTTGGCTGAGTTGCGCTCTTTCTGGTCTTGGGCACCAGCGGCGAGTTACCTCAGTAACCCTGAGTTTTCGCTTACCTGGCGATTGATTCGTAACGTGCTATCTCTCAATGACAGGTTCTTCAGATGATGCTGGGCGGATCTGCCCGACTGTCATCGGTGTGACCTTGGCTTAGAGGAAACGGTTCCACACGCCTTCTACCATTGTCCTCAGGTGTACTCTTTCTGGGATTATGTCGGCGAGTTGACGGCTCGTATCGCTCCCGATGTTCTCGTGCTCATTGATCTCGCATACGTGTGTGATAATGTGTCGCCCCCGTATTTTGGGGAGAAACGAATGGTGTTTCTGACGCTGCTAGCCGTGGCGCGAATGGTGATTTGGACGTCGCGGATGGAGGGGATCTTGCGATACGAACGCTATTCTCATCAGGCTCTGGTCAGATACTTTCAGCATCAGCTGAAAGTGAAGATCAGAACTGATAGAAAGCGTTTCAACGAAAGGTGGGTGAATGTAGCGAGCTTCGTTTGTGTGAAAGGGGCTAACATTGGTCACAACGGGGGGCGGGTTCCTGAGATCCCTCCTCCTGCTTAAGCTAGACACTCTTGGGTTTCCTTGTTAATGTGAACAAGTGTTGCTTCTGGCCTGTTTCCGGCACTCTCTTTTGTTATGATCCATGTCAAGATTCCCAACCTCCCCAGTTTGTTTTTGGCCCCCGTTATCATCTCGGCTGGATAAGACTTTGATTTTTTCCATTCTGTCATTTATTTTTACCCTCCTCACTCCATTAGTGAATGTGCTACTTGATTCTGTCTATTGGCGGAATACAGCGGCCACTCTGATTGTTTTGAGGGATGGACGGGTCTTACTAACATCTGTTTTGTTTTAGTTTGTTTTGTTCCAATTTTTGTTAGTTTTCAAGGTTCATTCCCTTCTCTTCATTTCATTGTTGTATTTAGGCACTTTGAAATTTTTATATCATTGAGTGCGGGGGTTGTAGGCGTCCCCGGTGAGTATGTGGTATTGTGGTATATGTAGGATTGAATGGCGAGGAATGAGTTCGTGTGGTAAATGAAGCAATTGTATTGAATGAATGGGTCATGATCGTGATTAACTAGGAATAAGATAGTTAGGGAAGACTAGCCTTTCCCTTCTTCCATTTCGGTTATATGCTACAATTATTGTATATTGGATACAGTAATAAATAATCCAGTTTTGCCTTTCCTGTACATGCGCCAACGTAAGTCTTTTTTTTTACATTGTATTAAAGAAAAATAAAAAAAATTCCACGCGCCATTAACGTCCGTATTATATTATGTTCTCCGTAACCTAGGTCCATGCATTCATTTGCTAACCTGTAAGCCAGTCTTAATAAAAAAAAAAAAAAAAAAACTGACAATAATTTGAACAAGTTCATGAATGCTATAACGCAGTCCTTTAATTGTTACAAAAAGTCAACACCAACGGGGAGATATTCCGTTGTGGTGAGATTATATTAAACTCGATTGACATTTAAATCCGTTGGCTTCGTGGGTTCGAAAGCTATTTCATGCCAACTTTCTTGATAAACAAGAAAACAAAGTAACAAAGAATAAATAAATAAAAAATTACTTATAATCAATTGGTCCCCACGTATTGAAAAGCCTTTGGCCCCCCTCACCTGGGAATTCCTAACAACGGTCTTTTAAACAAAAATACTTCATTTCCAACCAAGACAGAAAATGCGAGCTAACTTGCTTAACAAAAGGGAGAAAAAAAAAAAAAAAAAAAACAGTTTCACTTAACGTAAGGTCTTATTCATTCTATAACACACAGGTCATTCCTTTTTTTTTTTTTTATCCATATCCACAGCATCTGCATCTGGGCTTTCTTTCAGTACTTTTGTCGCGGACCGTGTATTTATAGTGTAGTGAGAGCGTCCCCTAGTGAAGAATTAGGAAATTAAGGAGGAGTTAACTCTGGCACTTCCTTTTTTGCTGCTCCCACGATTCCAATTTTCACCAATGCCTTGCTTAATGAGTGTCCCACAAAACCCCTGCACCCATTTTCTATTGGATCGAAAAAGTTTTTCCAATCATTTTGCTGGCACCTTTCGATTAACTCCCGGTATTTCTCACGCTTTCTTTCATTAGCAAGCGTGATATTCTCCTCTCATGCAAACCGACAATTCCCAAGTTATTAATTTGTGATGCGTGTTCTTAGCGCATATATCTATTGTACATTTAATGATTTAAAACAAAAAACAAACAAAAAACAACGAAACTCTATATGTGGATCAACAAATAAATATATATTGAAATTGAAATATAACAAACAAAACAATCATGCAATGAAGTGTAATGATTAAGGAAAAAAAGTTGTTCCCCTTCAACTGTATTCTGATTTATGATTGAATGTTCGAAAGAGTTTATCTTGAATAAGTTTATTCACAACATTTCAAACGCACACACGGACACAGATTTTTGTAACACATTATACATATATCTCTCTGTGACTCAGCCAAGTTCATGAACCAGAACTCTATTAATTTCTCTAAACAACACATTTCTTAATTAACTGTATTATATTCTAACAGCAGACTCTATTCAACATAGAATCCTGAACATTCTTATTTAAAGTAGATTTGTGAGGACAGGCGAAGATAACCGCACTCTACAGGAGGCTTGTGGAAAAATTGCTTCTTTTAAAACTACCGGTAGGCTCTCAGCGAAAACGCGGGAAAAATTGATTTATCACTAAATTGTTTGATTGGTTAAAATTTGACCAATTACTGATTTTGTATCAAAGAAACATGTGAGCAAGTTCACGACCGAAAAATTCAAAATGATGACTGCGATTGCTAAACTGTCTTATAGAAAAGCAGTATTGATTTACTAGCCAATCGCAGACGAATAAATTGTGGGCGTGGAAAAGCATAGCAGCCGCTACAACCTTCTTTGTGCTTTTGGAATAAATTTATAGGTCTGGGCGAAGTGTTCTCTGCATTATATGACTTGGGAATTTCAATTTTTTTTCAGCCAATCGGGTGCTGTTTAAAGCATAATTAGGGTATTCTTTTCTGGTTCCGTTTTCCCCCCGGCTTTGATAAAATTTATTAATGGTTCTCTCTCGTACACAAAACAATGCAAATTACAAGGAAAAAGGTACGATAAAATGGCTTCAGTGAGTTCGAACCCTGTTAAAAGGGTATATTTACCTTGACGGTATAAAATGTGAATGGTCTTAATAGTTCTTGTGATTTGATGTGAGTTGTCGAAGTTGTTAATTAGTTAATAGAATCCTTGTGACTTCAAAGTTCAGTCTTCAACGTAGAGCGTTGTTTTGATAACAGTGCTTGTTCTCTGTCTTGGAAATGACTATTTTGTTACAATAGTCAGAGTAAAAATGAAACTTAATTCTATCGTGAAAACTACAATTTGGTTGTCAAGACTTCATTGAGCAATAGGTTTTCGCGGTCGTTTGGTCAGGTTTTTAGATGTTTTTAGAAGGCACTGCCCGGTGTCACGTGATGATCCTCGGCGGTCTAATCCACTACTCTCAGGCGTTGCGTTTCATATTGCTGGCGTAACATTTCCAACTCTTGAAGATGGTCGTATTGTAGGATTTTTTATAGACAAAAGTCGGCCACAATTTTATCGGTCAACACAAGTATTTCAGACTTCAACCGACTCAAGTAGCCATTGCTTAAAAAATCACGTTTATGAAAACAATTTATTGTAGTACAAAAAACATTTCTGTTTTTCTTTCCATTTCTTTCATATTCAGTTGACCTCCCCCCCATTTCTTGGTCAAGAAGCTTTGCACGTAGACTGGCGGGGTTCAAGTAAATTATTTTATTACCTTCAGCTCTTCCCCCTTTACCGAGAGTCGAAATTTACTCAGTGGAAAAAATAATTTTTAACATCACTTAAAAAAGCAAAAAAACAGGAAGTACAAATGTTAAAAACTGTTTTTTATGCAAGTAGACACACACACAAAATATAAACATAATTCATTTAAAAAATTTAAAAACACAAATCTTAAAAATATGTAGTTTCGGACCAGCGACTCTAAATAAAAGTCGAAATCATTAACCATCTGTCAAAGTAGCAGGAGCCCTGGACTCATACGCACGTTTATGCTTACGTACATTTTAATGAACTTTTTTTTTTACTCCAAATTCTGATCGTTGCGAGACGTAGCCAATCGTTTGACCCCTATTATTCTACTCTTCTTTCTTCTATATTTAATTGTAAAAACAATGTAATTTCATATTTTTAAAGTGCACGACGCTAACTGCAGTCACATGTACG